GAAAAAAAAAAAACAAACATACATTTTTATACACACATCAAGCCATAGCTTCAACTCCATCACCATCCCCTTCATAACAATCTGCCACGGCATTCTTCCCCGTCCGGCTCACATTCTTGTACGTGTACCGGCTAGCAATAACCGCAAAAACGCAAACATCCAAAGCCGTTATCCCGGCCAAGAGCCAGTAAAAATAGTCGATCCGACTACTATTCAAATCCTTCCCAAACCAACTCTTCCCGACATTTCCACTCACCCGATCGACCACCGTTATCAACAAGCTGCTCAAGAAATTTGCGACCCCCAAAACGCTTAGATACAACGCGATCCCGAGGCTCCTCATCGAGTCGGGGACTTGGTCGTAAAAAAACTCTTGAAGACCGACGATCGCGAAACCGTCCCCTATACCGTAGAGCAAAAACTGCGGCGCCAGCCAAAAAACGCTCATCGAGGCCGATGACCCGTGTTGCCGGAGAAAGTCGAGTCGACGCCGCTCGACTACTGCCGCCACCGACATGGTGAGGATGCATATGGCCATGCCGATGCCGATTCTTTGTAGGACGGTAATGCCCCTCTCGCGGCCCGTGATTTTGCGGGCGAGGGGCTCAAGGGCATAATCATAAATTGTGATCATGGCGATCATGCTGATTGCGGCAAGGCCGAAAATTGAGGCGGGCGGGAGGATGAAGTCGGGGCCGAGGTGGCGGTCGAGGGTCGTGCCTTGCTTGATGAAGAAAGTGGTGCCTTGGGCAAGGCTTATGGCGAAGGGCATGGTAGCGAACCATGTGGGGATTACGTTGAGGACGAGCTTCATTTCCTCAACTTGGGTCACGGTTGCTAGTCGCCAAGGGTTCGGGTTGTGGGTGGTCGGGTTGTGGTCGTCGTGCTCGATTATGGCGGCCTTGTCGAGGAACCTTTTTTTTAGGGTAGGGGGAAAAATAGAGTGGCTTTTTTTTGTTAGATTCTTGGTTTGAATGTGAGCTTAGGCAAAAATCCAATCATATGTAAGTAAATAGTACTATTTGAAATCTTGCACATCTAAATTCGAACACACATCGTTGATTTACACATAAAAACACACAGATTCTAATGAAATTATATGGAAGCAGAACACATCACTACGCATCATGGACAGAGTAGTTTTTGTCAGATTCGTGATTAATTCAACTTTTAGGTAGCCAAAATTCCAATCATATGTAAGTAAGTAGTACTATTTGAAATCTTGAACACTTACATTTAAGGAAAAATTGGATCATGCGGGCTCTTTTCACAGTTGATTTACACATAAACACACAGACACGTAACTTAATGGGTGTGTGCGAAACTAATGGTGAAATTGCGCATTAAAAAACACACACACACACAAAAAAAAAATCTTACTTGAGTCGATCCGTGCGAACGAGGAGCCTCCCACGAGCCGCCTTGTCCCTATTCGGAACCTCATAAAGCCCATCACTTCCCGACGGACACGGAAGCTTCCTCTTGACAAAAGCTGCAACAACCACCCGTGCAAGCGGCGTGAATGGGCTACCCGTGGGCCTCCGAAAGCGGTAGAACGGCCGTCCGGCCCAAAAGATCACCACTGAAAGACCCATCACAACCGTGAGGGTGACATCGGCCGCAGCCCAACTCACGTGGTCTTGCACGTAGACGATCACGGTCACCCCGAGTAACACCCCGGCACAAAGCCCCGAGTTCCACCAATTAAAAAACGACATCTTTTCCCTCCGCTCCCCCGGGTGGTCGTCGTCAAATTGGTCGGCACCGAAGCTCTCGAGCGACGGCTTGTGCCCGCCTGTCCCGATCGAGATCAAGTAAAGCGCAAGAAAGAAGAACGCCACATGGATGTCCCGAGCCGCGGGACACGTGTCGACGCCTCCCGAGCAGCGCTTAAGCCCCGGGACCACACGCGACAAGGTCATCACTAACAACCCCTATTTTTATTTTTATTTTTTTCGATTTCAACACAAGACAAAACAACGTAAGACACATATAACGAAAAGACGAAAATTGAGAAAATGAAAGGGTGGTAAATTTTTTTGATATTCAGTAGTTTAAAGTTTTTACCACGAGGTATATAATGGAGGAGGCTAAAACGGCCCGAAACCGGCCGAGGTAAGAGTCGGCAAGAAATCCGCCGATTAAGGGCATCATTGTGGTGACGCCCGACCAATAGTTGACGTTCCTTGCGGCCGTTTTCAAGTCTAGTCCGATTACCTTCGTAAGGTATATGATCAAGCTTGTGGCTATGCCAAAGTAGCTCAACCTCTCACTAAACTCAATCACTACAAAAAAAAATTGGTCATCATCAATTCATCATCAAACAAAACATTACCTTTCAATGAAAATAGTGTTGAAAAATCAGTTATATAAAATTTGGGTTTGACTTGATTTTTTTTAACAACTAGGAAAAATAAATTATATAGTATATAAGTGTATTAATTCGGAAAATGTCAAACCAATATTTTTAGAAGTTACCTATGATGAAAAGGGAGGACTTCCATGCACCGGTCTTAGCACGGAGAGGGATTCTTCCTTTCCGGTCGACGGACGAGTCGTGCACCCATCGATCGTCGTCTTGTATTTTTTGCTCCACCTCCATTTTTTTTCTTATTAAAAGAAAATATTTTTCTCTCTCTCTCTCTCTCTTTTTTTTTTGTGTGTGTGCACTTATGAACACAAGTTGAAAATACTATTCCATATATATGGAAATAGTTTGATCCTCGAGAAGAATAAGGTTTTGTTTGGTTGAGATTGTTGGATCTTGGATGTGTTTGAGTGTTTTGAGTCTTTGGTGATAGCTCTTATATAGCCCAATAATCTTGCACGCGTTCTGGCGATTTTTTCCTTTTTTTTTTTTTTAATATTCCCTTTGCACGTGACGGTTTAACTCTATGGATATATCATGGAGAAAAAATCGAATAGAAAAATTACTGAAATTGTGGAATTTTTAAATTGAATACTACTGCAGCACCGAAACAAATTGAATTGAAAAAAATTTCTATACCAAAGGTAACCGAATAAGACATGACGAGATTGTGCGGTTCAGCTCGATTTTTCGATTTTCCTCTACATTTTGTTTTAGTTCATACAAAGTCGCTTTGAATTGAGAAAAAAAAAATATCAAACTTGTGAAAAATACTATCGAACCACAACACAAAACCAACGGAAGTTTTTTAACTCCTAAATATCCGAATTGAAGTGAACATCACCATATTACACGGTTCAATTTGCTTTTTAAGTGTTCTGTTGGAGTATCATTTGTGAGTTGTCCCGCATTGATTCTATAGGGAAAATGAGCCTAGTATATAAGCCAAGTGGACTCCTCTTATCATCAATTGGTTTTGAAATGGAACCTTACTATGGTGCACCTAAGTTCACCTTCTTATGGTGCACTTAATATGCATGTTTTGATACTTTTGTGATCAGTTCCCGCAAAATCGCACCAAATTAAAAACTATTAAACAATGAACTTGTGAAAATAAAATAACTAAATTGCACCACCACATGAAAAATCAAACAAAAAATTATTTATACTAAAACAATTGAATAATGTTGCACTGAATTACACATTTCGACTTGGTTTTTTGGTTATATTTTTTTTGTTCGGCCTGTGTAAAAATTGCACCGAACCAAAAAAAAAAAAAAAAAAAAATTGAACTGAATCACAACACATAGAAAAGCATCAGAAATTTTCTAGACTATAATAACCTAATTGAATCTCTACTTAATTCTACATTAAAAATAACCGAACCGAATCCCACCAAACTGCACGATTCGATTTAGGTTTATAGTTTTGGTTCGATTTTGCTACCTATAAACATGCATACACACATAACATGGCCTATAAATGACGAAGAATAAATAGTGCAGTGAAAAAAGAAAATTCTTGTCCAATGATTGCGATTGAAGAAAACTGGAAATTTGAATTCCGACCACATATAGCTGGGGAATGGATGCTATTTCCTTTGATTAAAAAATAAATAATAAATAATAAATAAATAAAATCATATTTCAAAATAAAAAATCGAATAAAGTGACTTTAATTATTTGGGGGTCCTCTAATCACGAATGCTACAGCCTACAGCCTGTGATGCTTGCTCCATATATCTCATGTGGCCATTTTGATCATTAATTTATAAAAGAGTTTAATTAAATATTTAACTAATTAATTAGTGCTGATACATATTTTTAATTTATAACTAATAAAGAATTATAGTATTAACTATTAAGACACCGTTACTGTTCATTTTTATTACTCAACTTAATTTTAAATTTATAATATAAGTTTGGTCTCCATTTTCTGGCAAGTTGCCATATTCACATGTTGCTTGTTATGTCATCACATCATTCATGTTAGTCAACTCTTTCAGGTGTTGACCATAAGGAAAAAAAAAAAAAAAAAAAATTATGTCACAAGTTAATTAAGGAAAACGGAACATAAATTAAGTATGGAACAACTAATTATAAATAACAAGATTGTTACCACTATTTAAGTGCCAATTTTATTTTATTTTTTCGGTTTCATTTTATCCATTATTATCCTAATTAAAGCAAAGTAGATTTTAATTTTCTTCAATAATTGGGAAAAATATATTGCAGCAAAGTAGTATTTTACTTTATGTTTACTGTTTTTCTACGTTAGTACTGATACACTACCACTACAAAATAATTGTTATATTCCGACAGGAATCCTACGATAATATATTCCAACGGAAATTCCAACAGATATTCTAATGGTATAGCTTCCATCGGAGGAAATTTTAAAAAAAATATTGCGTTGGAATGACTTTTTCATTGAAATTTTAGATGAAATTTGATGATTAATTCTTTCCAACAATCTTTTACCATAGGAATTTCTGTTGGGATATGCAATTTCAGTTGGAATTTTTATTTCCACCTCCATTAGAAAATCTACCGTTGGAATCGTCAAAATACAACTAAAATTCCAATAAAAAAATAATTCCAATGGAATACTTTTTTTGGAATTTTCGTTGGAATTCCTTTAAAATATATTTGTATTGAAATTTTTCGTTAGAATTTCATCATTTTGTTGTAGTGTACGAAATATAACTCCCGTTGAGAAATTCCAATTGTGGTCAAAATTAAATATTCCTTCAAAATTAATTTTGTGCTGAAATTTAGTTGGAATTTGATGTTTTTAACAGTACTTTTGAATTGAAATATGCATATTTTGTTGGAATGTTTTTTTCTCCACCAATATTCCGGTTAAAATAAGCATTACTCGGATTATCGTTAGAAAAAATATTGTTATAATTATTTTCATCGAAATTATTGTTTGAATTTTCCATTGAAATATAATAACCTTGAAATTTTTTGTTGAAATTTTTCTTTAAAATTTTAATAATTTTGTGGTAATAGTTTGCTCATATCATAGCTATTTGTTCACGCGTTACATCAAAAATATTTAGCCGCGCGCTTTAAAAATAGTGGAATAAATATCTTGACAAGTACTCCCAAATCAAATTGTACGACCAAAGAAACTAAACAATACAGGTCAATAGTATTTAACAATGCAATAAACGTGAAGATACATTGGATTTGCTCACATCATTTCAAAATTGACCATAAATCTCATGACTATATAAAAGTTCACGGAAATATTATGCTCTCGTTACGGTACCATCTCGTCAAATATTTTAATTATTGGATACACATGTAATTGGTATAAGATAGATGATCTAACGGTTAAAACAACCGACGAAATGATACCGTAACGTGACCATAGCATTTTCCTTCAGTTCGCATATGTTTGACTATTACACAATAGATCGAATTTGAGTTGATGGTCATAACTCAAATTGTTGGAATGTCACTTGTGAGTTGTCCCACATTGATTTGATAGGGTAAATAGCCCTAACTTATAAGCCTGGTGGGCTACTCCTCCTACTACCAATTGGTTTTGGGATGAAACCTCACTTGGGCTTCATTTGGGCTAACTCTCTTATAGTGCGCTTCACCTTTGTGGGACCGCACTCGTTTGCCCCCCGTTTGACATGGTATCAGAGCAGGCCTAATTTGGGACCTGCTATGAAAAAAAAAAAAAAAAGCTACCCGGCCTGGTTGTAGGCGTGGGCTAAAAAAATATACCCCGGCCTAGTTGAAGGCGTGGGCTGATGAAGGACTCACAAGTGAGAGGGCGTGTTGGAATGTCACTTGTGAGTTGTCTCACATTGATTTGATAGGGTAAATAGGCCTAACTTATAAGTTTAGTGGGCTACTCCTCCTACTACCAATTGATTTTAGGATGAAACCTCACTTAGGTTTCATTTGGGCTAACCCTCTTATAGTGCGCTTCACCTGTGTGGGACCGCACTCGTTTGCCACATGTTTGACACAAATTCATCGAATTTGGGATGAATTCCTTAAATTCTTCTTGTGTTTACCACACGATCACTATTTTAATTTATCTAATTGAATACAGTCAATTTGTAACTTTTAAAAAAGTTAACAATTTTCATATAAATTTTAGTTAGATTTTTTTAGAATTTTGATCATATAGTTAATGGGACATATATCTACCAAAATTATCTTTAAATTGATTAATTGCAAAACTATTAATTAATGGAACTTCAATGATCACTACTATTGATACACACTCATCAAAATTTCTTTCAATTCTTTTCTTTTAGAAATTGATTTTAGTTAATTTATGGATTTATTATATTTCATTCAGAATAATATAAACTAATTATGGTTATATTAGCATGATTAATAAATTTAAAAAATAATATAATCTAAAGGATCTTTTTCTTTTTCTTTTTTTTCCCCTTGTTGGCATTAATTATGCAAAGTATACTTGATCCATTAATGGTTGCATGTGAGGAATCATTTATGTCACATATTGTCAATTTTTAACCTTTATTAGACACAATTTTTTTCTTAAAAAAAAATAATAATAATTGAAAAAAAAATCCTATTAATATTATAGCTCGTTGACTTTGCCCCGTGAACTCTTAACTAGAGAATTAATGAAACTTCTTGCATCAAACGGATGAGACAACAACAAATTTTGTCTCTCGGGACATAACAAAAAATACGAGGAAGTGTCTTTTATACTCATAGCTTAAGTATTATAAACTCAATATCCATAATGAGGGAAAATACTACCGAACTATTCCGTCGGGATTTTTAACAGTATGTTATCTATCTACACTAATCTACATGATGTATCTTCGATTAAAAACTCGTATGTGCAACTATTTCAACAGACATATATTATGATGTTTATATAGCTTTGATTAAAAATTTTGCATTGATTTTTCAATTGAAAATTAATACTAAAATTTCGTTCGAATATGTAATTTTTATTGGAATTATTTTTTCCACCAATAATCCAGCATTTGGAGTTGTCAAGTCCTTTAAAATGTTCAATAAAATTTATAATATTATAATGTTAGAATACATTGTTTTTCTTGGAATAGAATTTATGTTTTGTCTAGTAGTGGTTCAATTTCACAACAATAACACTAGTGTAAGAAAGTTCAAAAACTTGAATATTAAAAAGAGTACCAAAATAGTAAAATGAACATAACTTATTGGAACATAATGTTCTTATAAACATATTTAATTTTGTATGAA